CACCTAGATGAAATGCTTTGCACCATGTTCTGGGTATCCAAAGATTTGTAGGATGCCATGTTCATGCATGCTCCGATCACGTAATCTTTATGGTCTATGCCATGTTCAAGCATGCATTAATTACGTAACCTTTATGGTCTATGTCATGTTCATGCATGCACTGATTACGTAACCTTTATGGTCTATGTCATGTTCATGCATGCACTGATTACGTAACCTTTATGGTCTATGTCATGTTCATGCATGCATCGATCAGGTGACCTTTATGGTCTATGCCATGATCATGCATGCTTTGATCACGTGACCTTTATGGTCTATGTCATGTTCATGCATGCACTGATTATGTAACCTTTATGGTCTATGTCATGTTCATGCATGCATCGATCAAGTGACCTTTATGGTCTATGCCATGATCATGCATGCTTTGATCACGTGACCTTTATGGTCTATCATGGGGAGTAATCTAGAGCCACGATGGAACAATAAGAGAGCAAGTTACCTTAGACAAGAATCAAGAACCTCCTAGGACCTCCCATGGTACATCATCTCATGACTTAGACTACGTTGCTTGAAACGCATGAAGCTTTGAGTGTAGGTATTAAGACGGTATCGCTTGGAACGCATGAAGCCTCAGACACAATTTGACAAGTTTATGACTAATACCGTAAATTCTAAGGGGAGTGTCTTGAATAACGAATTAAGAAACAGAACAAGAACCTAGAAAGAACCAAGAATAAGAGAAAGATCAAGGACTAGAACATGGATCAAGATCCAAGTTCTAAGGACAAGAACAAAGAACCATAATATTAAGGCCCGTAGAGAATAACCGGTTGGGTTTTATGTCCTAAAACTCATAGTTTGTAAACAAAAACATATTCTATTTTCAATAAAGTTATTAGTGTTGTTTATCCAGTAAAGATTGTTATTGAATAAAGTGAACTTTACGATTATTAATCTAAATCCAATAAACTAAGAACACTCTAACTATAGTATGATTACTTGAACTATATGTAGAGACATAAAAGTGGATCAAGTTCAAGTATATAGTCAAAATGATCTATAATATGAAGATAAGGCTGAGTACCTTATTCTGGGGACACTATGGATGCGACCCACTTTTGTATATGACATAAACAATGTGATCACTAAATTGTACATGTGGAGACATGTGAGTGGGGGTGTCCTATGCAATGAGTATTGCATAAGATCGGACCATGAAGAAAATCACTCTCACTTTATAATGTCGTTTACTGTTGAGACTGATTTTCTTTTCATTCGATGACCTAGGTAACTTGATTTTAATTCTGAGCTAACCATAAACTCATGTTTATTCGGAATTATCCTTAGATTTGCATGGGTGAGAGTGACTCGAGTTCGCCGACTCAATAGGCCTCCCATTTCAGGGGTAAGACTGGGTGAATGGCTGGGGACGTGGGGTGCAAGATGAAATTCACTCCTACCCACTTTTAGGGATATAAGAGAGGTAGTTCCCTTAAGCATTGACTCCAGGTCTTGAACAAGGGGCCTCACCCTCTCATTAGCCTAAGAGGGATTCGGTTTACTAGTTGGACCACAAACCAATTGTTCATTAGAGGATCAGTGAGACATAAGGAACAAGAAGTAACTTTAGGGGTAAAACGGTAAATTGACCCAACTTTAGTTACGAACAATCTGTGAAGGATCGACTTACTAATCATGGTTATGTCAAATTGACAAAAATATATCTATAGTGAGGGGAGTGCAACTACTAGGCTATAGTGGAGTGTCCCAGTGGTTAACGAATGTTGGTTAACAAGGTTAATGAGTTTAATCGGTTAATCTTGGATCGTTGGAGCCCATGATCTATAGGTCCATTAGGTCCCTCTGCTAGCTCATATTGGACTAAACCATAGAACAGTGTGACGAGTGAGTTCAAAGTGTTCGAATTCAAATTAGGGAGAATGCACTGCATATATACGATATATTTAACCGCATTTTTGTTTTATTTACAAATTAAACAAAAAAAAGAGAATTTGAGATATTTAAATAAGATTTAAATATCTTAATCAAAAATATGTGTCAGAATTAATTGGGATTGATATTTAAATTAATATTAAATATTAATTAAATAGTTTAATTAATCATTTAATATTACTTTAATTTAAAATTAATAATTCAAATTGATTCTTGACTACATTTAATGGAAAAATCAATGTTAGTAGAATTTTGAGGTGTCAAAATTTGGTTTAACCAAACTTGCATGCTTGCCAAATAAACCCCACAAATTTGAGTGGAATTTCGAGTGTCAAAAATTGGTGATCTCAAATTTGCATGAACATGCAACATGAGAAAAACCTTGAGAAAAACCTCTCACAAACTCTCTCTTCATATATACTAAATCCCTCCCAAGTTTAGTCACTCACCGGATTCCACAATCCCGTTCTGAGACCGGAGAATAGTGGAGAAGACACTAGTAGTGGTTCGAAACCGGTTCGTGAGGAAAAAGAAACTTGAGCGAAGAAAGGTTAGTATTCAAACTTATTGAGTTTTAATGCTTTTGAACATGCTAGCTGATTCACTATAATTGATGAACTTAGAGTCCTAAGATCCAAATTGCTTCCGCACGTGTTATATTAACACCATCATAACCAAGGTTTCATAATCTTTTCTAACAATGAATTTAAAAACATAAAATAAAATTTAAATTACATATGAAATTGTGTCCCTGACGTAAATGAGATTTAGTTGTGTTATTTCTCCTCTCTTTATTATGTTTTTAGCATATTCACTTTTTCATATTATAAAAATATTTTAGTTATCTTTTCTTCTATATTGTTATTAATAAAATCCTAACTCATTTAAAATTTAAAACGACTACCGTATTGAAACTATATTGTATAATTAATATCTTATTAAGAATAATAGGTTACATAATAAACTTTGATAAAGCAAGATCGATCGAACAATCTTGCATTATTTTTATTTATTAATACGTGAACATGATGTCATAAACATAATATAAAACTTGCACGCTTTATAGTTTATTCTTTAAATTGAATGGTCGTTTAATACGGCCACTCGCCAATGACATTGCCGGGTGGGTCATAGTTGCAGGTGATGAATGTACCGCCATTGTTGCACCTCACTTTTGCACATCCAACTTTTGTCGTGTTTTGCCACACCACTTGAGTGTAGTGGCCGCACATTTTTCCTTCGGTGCAGGTGTTGGAGGCATAATCGTAGAATTGTTGCTCGTCCACCCACATTTGAACTGCTTCAATGCCGGTCATTTCACTAGGATGCATTGCAAGATTCTCGCCATAAGGCCCATTAGAGTGCAACAATTGACAGTCGTTGCTACGTTCGTTGGCATATTGTGTAGCGTAGTTTGCAAGTTCCTCATCCCACTGGATGGGTTTGATGCCAACTTGGACAGCGCTCACTTGAGAACGAGCAATGTTGTGAGCATCAACATAGTGTTGAGGGGAGTCTTGAGCGAGAGATGAAGGAAGGATAGTGATGCAGAAGCCACAAAACAAGAAAATCTTTACGAGACCCATTTGGATTGGATCGTAGAGGTTGAAGAATATATGGAAATAGGTGTGGAGAGAAATGGGATGGACATAGGTTGTATTTATAAGCATCAAATTTTGAAATACTTTAATATAATTCAACTTGGAAACTTAGGGTTTGTATTCGTTGAACCAATCTTGGATGGCTATTTACAATTTGGCCCCACATATTTAAATAAATACGAAAACAACTTATCAAATATTTATAATAAAATAAAAATATTAATATAAAAAGAATACATTGGAGGCTGCTAAGCAAAGAATTTATGATCAAATTTGTACAAATAATTAATTTAAACCCTATTTGTACAAATAAATACTTTAAGTTTAGAATTATGACATCTTTTAAATAATCCCATTTTAATTTCAATTCAAACTTTTCTATTAAAAAAATATTTAAATATTTCTTGAATTAAATCGAGACTAAAATTAAAATTGATATGAATAACTAAAGAAATTCACTTAACTTAACCTTTGAACGGTGTGTTTTTCCTTCTTCATCTCCAATAGCATTCTTACGAGAACTTGAAACAAAAAAGAATAGTCACAGATGAGCATGAACCTTAAGTTAGTATGTAACCATACTCCTCTCCAACTGATGTGTGATCATGTGAGATCTCCCCGTCTACCTTTTTTGGGTGCCAAGTGAGACTAAATGGTTACTTATTAAAATTGATTGTTACAAGTTTTGCACGTAGATGAATTGAATTGTTGCAGTGATTTGATATGCAAATTTTCTCCACACTAGACTTGTTGTTGGTAGAGGTGTATACTCAACCCGACAATCCAGACCAACCCAACACAACACAACATTGTTGGATTGGATTCTTTTTTCTGAACTCGAACTGATTCGGTTCGGTTTCGAGTTGATGAGATAAAGTCTTCGAATTGACTTGAATCAAATAAAAATATATAAAATATATTAAAAATCTTGCCATATGATCTTGCCTTTTGGTAATTCCACCTCACTAAATACATACGTGGTTTTTTTTATTATTTTATTATTTTGTTTAATTTCTTTTATATTATTTTATTATTTTTAGTTTTTTGTTTAGTTTTCTTATATATATATTTAAAAAATAACTTAATATTTCTTACTATTTTAAAAACACATTATTTATATGTTATAATATATAAATAAAATAATATAATGAAACTAATTTAATTTAAGAATATGATTTGTAATAAGTTTATTAATTATGATTTATACGTACATTTAATTTTCGGATTTGGTTGAGCAAAATAGAAAATGAGCCCATTTAAATATTTTTAAAAGTAATTTTATTTTTTTAAAAATGGATTACTCAATTAAAATATTTAAAGGAACCCATCGCTAGATCCCACATCGGGAAAGATGATTGACAACGACGTCAATAAATTTTCATTGCCCTATTCTTTTCCTTTTATCATTCGCCCTTTCTCCGTATTCGATCCTATTTGTTCATGTTTGTTTGCTACTATGGTGGTTGAATTTCTTTCAGTCTTAGTAACATGATGTTTTAGAATCATTTGGTTGTTTATCTTTTTCTTAATCCTCAGCCCAAGCTAAGACGCAATTCTAATGAAATAGAGCGGCTGTGTGTTTTTTATACGATTCTTCTGCTCAAGCTTTTCTCGCGTTTTGTCCATGGAAGCCGTTTCCCTTTCTCACACTGGTTTTTCGCTTCCTCTTCATCGCTATGGTATTTTCTGTTTCTTAATTATTTTTTTTCCGACGTACGGTTTGTTTGCAAGTTTATGTGTTTCTAATCGATGCAATTCTATTGGATCAAATGTTTAGGCTACCATGAGCTTGGGCTTTCCAGTGCTTCATTTTCTTTGCTTCCGGTAAGCATTTTAGTCAATCTGTTTATCACTTTTGTTCGATTGTACTTGTTTGTTTGTGTATATCTGTTGGAAGATTTAAGTCTGCACTCTGTTGAGCTGGTGATAGAGTTAGGAAAAATATTATTGTAAGTGGCCTGATATGTGTCTCAACATTTTAATCATGAATCAAGTTGAGATCTGTCCTCTCGAATGCTTATTGTAGCTAACCTGATGCAAGATGAGCTCTGGTGTTGCTCGTTTATGTGGAAAAAAGTAAATGTCTAAACCATAAAGGACATAAGAATCATGATCTAAATATGTTCTCTGTTGGATCTACTAGCATTGAACCTAAACATTTGGGAATGTTTGAGTTGCTTTACGGAATGAAGTGTTATTTGGGTTTTATCTCAATTTTTAATTGGACACAAACTTTATTCAGAAAAAGAGAGATAAAGCAGTCGGGAGATGAGGAATCTCCCCCCAAGGGGATTTACACGAATAAGAAAAAAGAAAAAAAAAAAAGATCCCAATTGGTATTGTAAACGAACAATCATAATTTAAAACTCCTTTGGCAGAGAGTACCAAGTTGATCAGAAATTTTTTTGATTATTTTTTAACCTCAATTTCTTAGTTATAGTCATGATGGTGTTGAACCAAATGAATTTAGAGAGCCTTAAGTTGTTCACAAAGAAATTGAAGGAGGGTTGAATGGTTGTCTTAGGGAAGCACTAGGAAATGTTGAAAGAGATTTCTACCACTCATAACGGCATAAGAGCAATGGGAAGAAAGATGGTTTTGGTCTCTTATAGCTTTTTGGCATAATGCCATTGCCACCAGATGAAAAATAAAACAAAGTCTGAAAGCCTTTTTGAATTCTATCACAATAAATAATCAGTCTTGGTCCAAGGCCCAAAGGAAGAATTTTCTCTTTTTACTTGTGAGGGTTAATTATTGGATCGTATTAGAGGCATTCTACTTTTTTGTTATGCCCACTATGGGTAGGAATGCCGTTGACATTCTAGTTCGTATCTTTTGAGGATGTTAGTTTGCTTGTTTGATTTGCAATGGTATCTTCAGAGTTGGGCTTGCTGGGCATGTAGTTGAGTGAGGCACGTGGTCTGCCCTTGTGTAATATAAGGGGTAGATCCTTTGAGGGCCTTTTTTTTTAGTATGACCTGAAAGGAATAGTAGGAATTTGGAAAGATTGAGAGATCTTGAGAAGAGGATTGACACTTGGCTAGATTTAACGCTTCTCTATGGGCTTCGATTACCAACGAGTTGTATAATTATTTTGTTGGTCTTATTTTGGATTGAAGCACTTTTTTACATGGTCTATTGGACTTACTCTTTTTGTTTGGCTATCTTTCTGTATACCTCTGGTTTTCTTTCATATTCTTTTCTTAATGAAAGCTCTATTTGTTATAAAGGATATATATATAGTCAACCATTAGATATTGTAGGATCAAGTTGTCCTTTGAAGTTAGTTGAATTGTGCCTAAGCTAATTTGAATACTTGTGATAACAAAAAATATGAAGTAGGGGAAAGTTTTCTGTGTTTGAGGCCACCTATATCAAGACCTGTTTTACATGAATGGCTAAAAATTTATTGCCCAGTTTACAAGGTTACGACCACCTTCGTTTCTAGATCCTTTCCACAATTTTAAGCTTCTTCAATATTTTGGTCGTCTTTGAAAGACATTTAAAGATATGAAGGTAGTAAATTGGAATACTAGAAAAAACTGCATTTGAATGGATTACTTTCCCTCTTTTATTAAACAAAGCATTCCTTCACTTGCATAGTTTTTTTTTTAAAGAGATTCTCTGTTAATGGTTTTAGAGATGTCCATGGGGCGGAGATGGGTAAGCCTTTCCATCTCCATCCCCGCCCCCTATTTTATTCTCCATTCCCGTGAAATTCTCCATTTATTTTTGTGGTGGGATCAGAGTGGGGAATGTGCATGGATTAGGTGCCCCATGGGAAATTTTTCTCCATTTTTCTATTATATTTCTAAATGATTCCTCCGAAGAAAGTTTTTAATACATAATTTTCATTTTACCATATAATTTTTGTTAAAAAAATGTAAACAAAAATCTAATATAATGTATACAAACAAAAATATAATATAATGTTCTACCATAACTTCTAAATAATCAACAATCTTCCGCACACAAAAAGCTTCAACCTAATCCTTAACTTAACCATAGTCTCAAAACCTTAAATGTTATAATATATAAGTAATATATTTATAAGAAGCCCCAAACATCATTATTTTGACCCCAATTTCATAAACTATGGGTTTATTAGCCAAAATAAAGTATAATGAACTGAAATCAAATAATGACCCATTTGTAGAAAGTCATGGAAGTGTAATTGTAAGACAAAGAAAACTAGTTTATTATAATTTGTAATAGAATATGTGTGTGTGTGTGAATTGGGAGGAAATGACATTATAGAGGGTTCGAACATAGAATCTCTTGCAATCATATCATGTTAAATCACCAATCAGCCAAAACCCAAAAGTCTTAGCTGATGGGTTACTTTAAATTTAATTATATCATTACTTTGACACAAACTATGCTCACTCCATAGTACATTTGGCTGCACGGATGGTAGCAACCGTTTTAGAGGGAGAGGGTGATTGTAGAAGCATGGTGAAGGGGCAAGGTGAAGGGGCAAGAAGGTCACAAGAATGAGATGGAGAAGAGATAGGGGGTAGGAGAGAGATGCTCCATTGTGGTGCTTTTCATCGTTAGTACTCATTTATTTTGATTAATGAGAATGTTAATTACCATTTTAACTGCAGATGAATGCGTTTAGGGGTCTTCGATATAGTTCTTCTCTCCATGAACAAGCAAATTTGAGAAAAGCTGGTAAGTTATTTCCTGCTTAGAAATCTTATTCTAGTTAATTTATTCTCTCAAATAACTTTTATAACCCAATATTTTTTGAGTGCTCAATAGTTTCCGCTACCTTCTTGTTTCAATGGTTTTAGCAGCATGTAGCTGGCCTAGGCCAACACAAGTAGAGATTATAAAACAAAATTTTCTCATAGTGTGCTTACATCTGAAGTGCAATGTGTTAGACCTTGTGCAAATTTTTCATGGCTAAATCTTGCTTGATCATTTGCTAGTAAATGATTAAGATTATCAGAAGATGACATGTTGATAAAGAAACGGGAGAAAAAATTGTTGCTCATTTATTTTTATTCTATTTGCAATTTTTTATGTTTTATTTTGATCACCTGCTAATTCTTCAACCATGCAAGAGATTCTATACTTCTTGACTTTGTCATCGGGATATCACCGGGTTTTAATACACTCTGGATATATTTGAATCATAATTCATTGGCATGAATTTTTGTTTAAGGAAAGAGCCACTTCTTTTTGCCTCAGTTGCAGAAGCATGTTATTTTGACACATTTTAATGAAATGCTTCATAAATCTTGTTCTTAGGCTTTGACGTTTCTCTTCATCTACAGCTCAACATTATTGCTACTCATCCATCATCAGAAAATGTGTTGGTGTCTCTTCGTGTTATCTTACTCCAAATGAGAATCCATACAACCTGTGGCACAACAACCCGTTTAGTGGAAAAAGAAACCCCCGGTCTATTATTGTTAGGTCAGAACTTGCAAAAATGGGAACTCATGAAGTTGGTTATCCATTACCAGGTCTCTTTTGGATGGATTTTGTTTCTTTCTTGTCCCATTTCCTTTTCTTTTTACCTGTTACCATATATGTCTAATTCCTTTTTTTTTTCCTTTTTTCTTTCCTTTTTAACTGCCTAAAGTGCAGAAGTACCATTGAGCTCAAAAGTAAGAGGAACGTGTTTTTATGCTACTACTGCAATCACTGCTATTTATCTCTTTATGCTTATGCTGGTGGTGCATCCAATTGTGTTATTGACGGATAGATACCGCAGAAGAATTCATTATACAATTGCCAAAATGTGGGCAAGTTTGACTGTTGCTCCATTTTTTAGGATCAAATACGAAGGATTGGAGAATTTACCCGCTCCAAATTCTCCTGCTGTGTATGTTTCCAACCATCAGAGCTTTCTTGACATATATACACTTCTTACCCTTGGCAGAAGCTTTAAGTTCATTAGCAAGACTGCAATATTTCTCTTTCCCATTATTGGTTGGGCTATGTTTATGATGGGTGTCGTTCCTTTGAAGCGTATGGATAGCAGAAGCCAGTTGGTACTTTCTTTGATTATCCATTTCGATTTTGCACAGTTTATTACTTAGAAGACCAATTTGAAATGAAATTTGTTGAAAATTTGTGGACCTTTTTCTCATGGTTAAGAATGATGTTATTGGGTATTATTTCCAAGTTTGTTAATTTTTTAATGAAGGACTGTCTGAAGCGATGCATGGAGCTTATAAGGAAGGGTGCATCTGTATTTTTCTTTCCAGAGGGAACACGTACTAAAGATGGAAAATTAGGTGCTTTCAAGGTAAGTGAACATTATATTTCAAAACATTGCATTGGGGGACAGTAGCGTTGGTTTTTGGTTATGAAGAAACAAACGTGTATGAAATCTATACTTTTTTCACAAACTTAGTGAGATTTACTCGGCTTTGAAATATCGATTCCGTTCATGATACCAAAGTTATTGAAATAAACGGTTCCATTATTTTAATTGCCTTCTTGCTCTGCAATTCTTTATTTAATTATTTGCATGGGTTGCTTTGCAGTTTTCTATTAAGGTTACTTTTTGTTGACCAATTTTGTGATCTCCCACGTCGGTTGGGGAGGAGAACAAAACACCCTTTATAAGGGTGTGGAAACCTCTCCTTAGCAGACGCACTTTAAAGCCTTGAGGGGAAGCCCGAAAGGGAGAGCCCAAGGAGGGCAATATCTGCTAGTGGTGGGCTTGGATTGTTAAAAATGGTATTAGAGCCAGACACCGGGAGATGTGCTAGCGAGGAGGCTGTTCCCCGAAGGGGGGTAGACACGAGGCGGTGTGCTAGTAAGAACGTTGGGCCCCAAAGGGGGGTGGATTTGGTAGGGGTCCCACATCGATTGGAGAAAGGAACGAGTGCCAGCAAGGACGGGCCCTGAAAGGGGGTGGATTGGGATGTCCCACATCGGTTGGGGAGGAGAACGAAACACCCTTTATAAGGGTGTGGAAACCTCTCCATAGTAGACGTGTTTTAAAGCCTTGAGGGGAAGCCCGAAAGGGAAAGCCCAAAGAGGACAATATCTGCTAGCGATGGACTTGACATTGACTATATTTAATTCTTTAGAAAGCTTGCTGTGTCTCAAAGTGCTTGGTGCAAAATTGTACTGTATGATTGGCTAGAAAGCCTAAAATATCTGTTCATTCGTCCTTGTGCATGCATAGCTTTTTCTAATTAAACATCATCTATTTTAATGTTAAAAAAAATGTTTGATTTGTAGAAAGGAGCATTCAGTGTTGCAGCAAAGACGAAAGTGCCTGTTGTACCGATTACACTCGTAGGAACTGGTAGCATTATGCCAGCAGGATCTGAAGGCATCTTGAATATGGGATCTGTGAAAGTTCTTATCCATAAGCCTGTGATCGGAAGTGATCCAGAAGCATTGTGCAACGAAGCTAGGAATGTAATTGCTGATGCACTGAGTAAGCATGCTCAGGTCTCTTCCGGTGAAAATGATTTTTGACTTCATTACTCAGATTTCAGTTACCTGATGTAGAATATTTGTATTTTTGATAAGGTAATAATCTCTCTACCATTTCAATTATTACTTCAGTTTTTTGCTTATCATCTTATGCACTTTAATGGCTTTCTTTTAGTTAGTTTGGGGCTCCCTTCGCTTTTTTGTGGGCTGGTTAAGGACGTAAGATTAAAGGGGGGGACTAGTGGCATTCTTGAAAGAAAAATTAAAATTAGAGGGAAATTACAAATAATAATTGAGGTCAAAATAGAAACCTCAATATTGTAATTATAAGATTCTTAACCTTTATGAGATCCAATCCTCTAAATCATTCTTTTCTTCCGTTCCAAAATTATTTTGAAATTAGAATCTGAAGAGAATAAAGATAAATGGAGAGAGAGTTTTGGAAGGAAAAAAAATGGAATGAGAATGATACTTCAAGCTGTGGAGTTCCACCCCAAAAAAATTCATTCAAAAGGGTGAGAGAGAGAGCCTTCACTTACCTACTTCACCGTGCGGACGGCTATCTTTGGCTTCCGTTGTGGATTCCTTCTTTGTTAAAAAAACCTACTTGCGACTCAATGTCCCACCCTTGTGGCGACAGGGGCGAAAAAAGGAAAGAGAGGGATGGGGTTTCTCTCGCTTTTACATAGCGGGCCCCTGCGAGAGGCCCGCACGATGGGCTATTAGCTCAGTGGTAGAGTGCACCCCTGATAATTGCATGCTCCAGTTATCTCATCTATTGAAAAAGCTGGTATAGAATAGGCTTTTTTTTTTTTTTTTTTTTATTTTTAATCTTCCTTTAGCGTTTCTTTAATACCTTTGATGTAATGACAGTCCTAAAAAAATTGGAATCAAAGTGACCAAGAAGAAGTTCCATAATGTCTTGATGGAAGAACAGTGAGGCAAGAGTTGGTCTATATCTTCCCTAGCTGTACTGCATAATGCACACATCGTGGAGGGTTGAGATCCGAAGGGAACATCCTTGGGGTATTTGATCAATCAAGATTATTGCTCTTCCCAGTAGCAAGGGACAACGGAAACATTTTGAGGCAAACTGCTACATTCATTTTGTGCATAATCTTGTGATCATAAATTGCTAATAAGGGAACTGGAATTTTGGAATGTGATTCAGTGTTACTGAATCAGGTAAAATGGCTTCTTTATATTATTATGTTCATAGTTGTTAGGGATATGCTTTTAACATATTAGTTTGTTCGTAGAGTCTTTTTTTTGCACATGAATTTTGTTCGTAATCTGATAACATGAACTGCTATTAGTTTCAAATTGTTTTACCATGTTCATCTTGCCTTTTTTTTTCTTCTTTCAACTAATCATTCGTGTTAATTTTGTATGGTTAGACAGAAATAAATTCTGTTAAGTGTATAGGAAGTATGAACCAAGAGGTATCGACCCATTTCCAAAAAGATATTGGGGCTCTCTCACCCTTGCTTCTCTGCTTTCAAGATTGATGGGAGTTAAGGTTAGTTCCCCCGTCCCGCTATTTGCCTTGTTAGGACAGCAAGAAAGAAATCCCCGTCTCCCCCATTAAGTTTGGTAATGATTCTGGAGTTGTCTGTGTTTTAAAGAGAATAGTTGTTGTTGATTTCAAGTATTGTATGAAAAGTAGGTTTACAGATGGATTGTTGTATGTTGTCTGTTGTCTTTGGTGGGTACAGAAGATATCCAACCAGGATAGTTGGTCTGTAGAAGTGACCACATTACCTAATCGAGTGGCAAGGGGAAGCATTTGTTTCCTTTACGAGAAAATCAAGTTGTAGCCAAACTGATTGGAAGTAAGCGGTGGTCTGATCAGGGGTCAGTGGTTGCGAGCATTAGAGTAGGTTGTGATGACACGTGAGTGGTGCCCATCGGACCACGTGAAAGCTGAGAAAAACAAGTGCTATGATGTGACGAAGGAGGACGGTGCATCATCTAATAAACCAAAAAAAGTGTACATGACAGCCAAGTTAAGGTATAAGTAAGATTAGAGGCATGATGTCATCAAGAATGTTAGAGATACCCTTAAAGGGGTCGAGTAGGATCTTGAACCCTAACTATTTTGAAGTGTGAATGCATAAGAGACTTTATCTTAGCAAGTCGGAACCACCAATATTCTACAGCATGCAAATGTATCAGATTTTGCAGGCTAGTGGAGCATGAAAAAGTTGTAGACTAATATCACGGTCGTATTTTTTTAACTGTGTGGCGTTGTGATCTTATCACGCTCACAACAAGCCTTGAGGGAAACCCAATCCCCATATATATCTTTCGTCCAGCCTTTGTGGCTTCGTCAGACCTTAGACGAGGTTTGTTTTCACCAACCGAAATCACTTGTGCGGAATCCAAGATTGTTCGATCACATACACTACTTATGCGTGCATGTTCAATCGTCTGTTGCACAATCGGGGCCAAAATTAGCACAAATGATTAGTGTTCCAAATGTTCCAAAATTACTCAGGGTCAAGGTGATAAGGATCACAGTGTTCCAAATGTTTCAATGGACCTATTACATGATCCAAGGTCAAAAAGATATAACAAACATTTATTCTTCATTTACAAAATTGGATAGGTTTGGTTCAACAATTATTTCATGTACTACCAGCTAATTTGATTGAGGAATGACCATTTCGAACTTTTAGAAGTGAATATTTTCACATGAAGTTCTATAAATTACATTTAATTGATAAGTTAGAAAATTTTATTTATTATTTTTAATTTCATAATTCTTAAGCTTATTAAATTTTGGGACATCTTAAGAATTGATTATTATGTATAAGGCATTAAATTAAAAGGCATTAATTTAAAATCTTGAGTTTGAAGGTAGAGTGATTTAATTTAAAATCTTAATTAAGTTCGACCGTAGACTGATTTAATTTAGAACAAAGTTTCACTTTCACCATTCTTTGTAATCTTCTCACTTTGTTATCATTTTCTTTCCGAAGATCTTGAAAGATGACAAAGATGCAGCTCTGATGCCAAATTGATAAGACAACCATAGTCCTCCATCCAACAATCCAAGCTTTTGTTGAAGTTTAATCAAAGAAATTAACATTTTCTTATACAAAATTTGGATAAACCAAGAGGTAAGGCTAGAATAGAAATTGATCAAGGTTGACTGAATGACTCAGATGCAATCTACCACATGAATTACATGAAACTTAGAAATGACAAAGATGATGTTTGGATTTGTAAGGGTGAAAGTTCCAATTTGAATCTAAATTTCATTCATTCACCATCTGCCTTTTACATAATAATTTCTAAGGGTGAAAGTTCGGATTTCTAAGGATGAAAGTCCCATTTTGAATCTAAATTTCATCCATTCATCATCTGCCTTTTACATAATAATTTGTGGGTATTTATAGTCTCCCCACAAAAAAAAACTTTCAATTCTTCAAATGTCCTTCAAAAAAGTCAATTTGACCAATGACATCCACCCTTTTGCCAATTACCAGAATTATGAAAGTAAAAATAATAAATAAAATTTTTTTACATCTTATCAATTAAGTGCAGTTTATAGCAACTTCATTTGCTACTTCAACCGTGTAAATATTCACTTCTGAAGCTCGAAATGGTCCGTTCTCAATCAAATTAACTTGTAACACACGAAATAATTGTTGAACTGAGTATATCCAATTTTGTAGATGAAGAATGAATGCTTGATAATCTTCTTAGTTTTGGATCTTGTAATAGGTTCAATTGAAATACTATGATCCTTATCACAAGGTCTCTCAATGCAACATTGCATCCAACATCATCTTGGTTCCCATAACATGGCTTCATGTCTTGACACCATCCCAAGTCATGAAGTGTAGGTGGCTATCGCAGCTCACTCGTTCATGCCATCGAGAAGGGGCCCACATGTCGTTCATAATCGCAGGACATTTCGAACATCTATCCATTTGGGTTCAATCGAGGCATTAGCCCTCTCGTGCCCATGTCATATCATTTACAGATATCGTACTGGATAGCGGGTGCATAATCCAACCTCCAATACATGGACTAGGGCGCAATGTTGACACACCCATGCCATCTGATACTATCGTTGAAAAGCCTATTTCAAAGGAAGTCGCTCAACACACTCGTCTTAGAATGCTCTCCCTCAATGTGACACATGCATGTGTCACAGGGTAGCTCGCTTAAGTTATAGGGCTCAGGAGCGGTGGAAAACTGACACCATGTCTCCCTCTAAGATATATTTTGAGACATTTTCAAATTAGCCGGGTAGACATTTTCATATTTTGTTCTTTTTAGTCTTAGATAGTTTAATGTAATCATTCCATTTTCAATAGATCTTCATTTCAATAATTAAATGTAGTCACCATGCCACGATCGTTGCTCACGTCATTCGCGTTGCATTGCTTGAAGTTATGTCTTGTTGCAACCCTCAAACACCAGCTGTTGTGACTGATGTTGACATCCTTGTCATTGTCGCACGTCACTCACCATTGTTGTAGTAATTAGTCGCTCAACATATTACTAATATAAATGTAGTAACTGAGACACCAAGATTTGTTGTAATAGGAACGGTTGATTTTCGAATTTGTTGTATCTTATGTAGTTAAGTGCTCGAGGTAAGGGCCCTTCTTATTGAAATTCAAATTGTTTTACTTTCCAAATTACGGTGAGATATGTATGCTATTGTATGGTTATATGTTGATTATTATCATGCTTTATTGGTCATGAAAAATATATGTTTTGGGGCCGTATATGATTTATGAATGCAAGGAATGCAAAAAGGGTTACATGCTTGTGTATCGAAAAGTCAGCCACTAAAGGTCACGTGAGGTGATTGTTGATGATTATTTTTGTTGTAAGGGTTACACATTATGTTTGTCGAGTAATCAGTCACCAATAGTCACTAAAGAGTGATTGTTGAAAATGATTTTTGGTGAATAGATTATACGTTATGTGTTTCGGGTAATTAACCACTAGGGTCACTCCAATATGGAAGTTGTCTTATTGAGTATTTTGATACTCACTCTATTTTTAAAATGAGCTTCAAGCAAAGACAAGACATCGACATGGGAGTATCGAAGAGGATAGAGAAGCTAATCATGGAGCAACTTTAAAGTTAATTTTAATTATTTGAATTTTGTTGGTACACTCCGTTTATGGGAAGTAGGAAATTTTGGATTGATGCCCGTCTTCCCTTTTAGTTTGTTGCTTGACTGTTAAGTTAAATTACGTGTATTTAAAATTTCTTTAGAAAGAGGTACTCCGAGCATGATTTTACTTTAAATGTCTTTTAGCATTACATAACGTCGCTGACTAGTATATGTATAGAAAGTCAAGTTGTTACATCTTTACTATTACAATATAGTTTACTTTTTTCTTCAAAATTTTGATTACACATGCTCGTGACATACGATATACATGAAGTCCAACGAAAACCAATGAAAAAAACGAGCACGTATCATATCATGATGTATGCATCCATTCATAGTATATTGGGAAGTATCCATGCTTGTGACATACAATATGCATGTATTCGGGTAATTTTAAATCATGGTACACAGTTAGGAGGCATATCATACATGAGCTGACATATTGGAATTCCATGCATTATATAACCTATTATATATAACCATTTGTCACCGAACGTCATGTCTCAGTCATCCATAATTAATCATCACAATAGCATATGTCAATCCTATAAATCTAGAAAAACTTAAATAACTCTGGCATAGAAAGAAACTCAGCTCAATTGAATCGAACTAAAACAACTAAAACGGGGAAAACCCTAAGTTAGATTAAAAAAAAATCATTAAACTGAGCTACAATCAGACAAACCGAATTAGACCAAGCAAGACAAAAACCAAATTGAATTGAACCAAAATGCTTTGAATCAATCTATACTAGGTTGAACCCATTTGAACTAGTCATTGATCCATCTTGTTGATCGAGACTCCATGCTCGAGAGGTGGGAATTGTGTCTGGCTTCACTCATGGTCGAGAGCAACTTGAGTGTAGGTCGGAGTCGCGTACTGCTGTTCGTAAGTTTCGGGAGAGAGGGAGCAAGTAGCAATGTTGCAGCGCCATGAATGAATTATGTGAGATGGAGAAAATGGTTTATATGTTGTGGTTCAACTTCCATTCAAATTTATCGAGTATTATTGTATGATTTTTTCCGATGTTGTTATATGAAGGCTAGAGCGATATATTGTTTGAAATTTACACTAAATCATCTCTCTCAAAAAGTCACTATAATCGAATTCTGTTGTAGAGACATTAAATTTTTTTTTTATAACTTGAAAATCCAATCTGGTTAACTCAACAAACTCGAAAATAAAGTTACAAC